ACCGCTTCTCCGGCCATGCTGAGGCTGTGTCTCACATACAGCAACTAGAAGGATGTGCAACTATGACATACAACTATCTACCGGGGCTTTGGGGAAAAAAATACATAAATAAAAATCTTAAAAAAAAAAAAAAACTAAAGGGATAAAAACAGACAAATAGTTCAGGGGAATAGAATGAGGTGCAGAAACAGATCCACATATCTGTGCAAATGAAGCTTACAATAGAGGCAACATAAAATCTGTGACAGAAGGGTGGCTTTTTCAATAAATCCTGTGAGATAACTGGCTATCCACTGATGGGAAAATAACATTAGATTGAACCTCCTGCCCCATCACATCAGACATAGATGGTATAAGTAGTTAAATATTTAGGGAAGATAACTTAAAACATTTTAAAGGTTTTTAAACTATATTTTTAATAATAGGGTGGAGAATGCCTTCCTAAACAAGATACAAGACCACAAGACCTAGAAGCCATAAAAAATGGAGAGATTTGTTCTCACATATTTTAAGACTCCTGTTAAAACAAATACTATAATAAAAGTCAAAAGAGGGGCCAGCCTGGTGGCATAGTGGTTAAGTTTGCACACTCCGCTTTGGCGGCCTGGAGTTTGCAGGCTCGGATCCCGGGTGCGGACCTATGCACTGTTTATCAAGCCATGCTGTAGCGACGTCCCATACAAAGTAGAGGAAGATGGGCACGGATGTTACCCCAGGGCCAATCTTCCTCAGCAAAAAGAGGAGGATTGGCAACAGATGTTAGCTCAGGGCTAAACTTCCTCATCAAAAAAAAAAAATTTTTTTAAAAGAAAAGAGAGAGTGGGAGAAAAAAATGTTGCATGTAATTTTTATCCAGATTATATACAGAATTCTGACAATTATTTAAATGGACAAAGGATATGACCAGGAAGTTCACAGAAATAACCAAATTAAAAAAGAAAAAGATTGCTTGTCTAAAACCACAGTTTTTGGGGCCGGCTCCGTGGCTTAGCGGTTAAGTGCGTGTGCTCTGATGCTGGCGGCCCGGGTTCGGATCCCGGGCGCGCCCCAAGGCACCACTTCTCCGTCCAACGCGAGGCCGAGTCCCACGTACAGCAACTAGAAGGATGTGAACCTACGACATACAACTATCTACTG